CTGAAGTTTCCATTGAATTTCACATAGCCTTGCTTTCCCAAAAGTTGTTCTCATCCCGGCTGGAGTGGACTGCAGTTTCGACCTCGTTTGGTCTTATCAACACCCTTGGCTCAACTCATATCATTGTGGGAAAATTCTACTACCAGTCCTTCATCATCTTACACGAAATAGGGTGAATACATCTCATTACACTGAGTTACTGGTAGTCTCGAAACCCTACTTGCTTATAAAATGAGTTTGTTTTGAAACTAGCCGAAAATCTTTAATAAGAGATGAATTCACCCCAGGTCGGATAAACTGATGAAAAACTGATCGTTCAATTTTCCTCTCTGAATCTTGCTTTGCTTGGACTCACATAAGGTAGCTTCATCCGGGGTGGACTGCACTTTCCATCTCACCTGAGTCTTAACGGTAGCCTCTCTAGAGTCGAACCGGGCAATACAATACATTATCTTTTGGTAGCTTCGGAATCTAATCAGACTCAATATAAGTAATTAATTCGATTGTAATAGCAGATAAAAGTTTGCTTTTTTTGACAACCTTACTAGAAAATGTGATGCAACAGAGGCCTGACTAGTCTTGAAATTTACGCCCAATAACACCCATGGCAGTGTGGCATAGCGGTGAAATGTAGAAATTGTCTGCTGCATTACACAGGTTCGATTCCCGTTGAATGTGCTGAGGAGACCCAGACGTAGTCGAAATTGCAAACGATCCCGGAAGGAAATACCTCTTGTGAGGCAAGGTTAAGTGAAATTGAGTGACATCCTCAGGCCAATCCATATGAATGTGGTAAAATCAACTATCACTCTTTCATCGTTCGTTGCGGCGTATAGGAAAAGTTGCTCGTAATCCTATATTTTATCCTCATCACAACTACAAAAGGAAGCTCGGACAAGTCAGGAGTGTGGTCATAAGCAAGCTATACCTGACGGGTATGGAAGTTTGTGCAAATGAAGCTAATAACAAAGTCCGATTTATATTAGGAATCTATATCCAAATATGATAATGAGTATGGGTTGGGATGGTCGGACAAGGAATATGAAATAAAGGCAAGGCGAATTGGTGAAAAATGAATGGCATGTATATCCTCCTGCGAACTGGCCCGGAAGCTGAGGCCAATACTACTTAAATGGAACAGAAATTAAAGACTACCAATGACTCTACAGAGTCATTGACACAGAAAGAAAAGAAATAGCCAAGAACATTACACTGTATGATCACTATATCGACTAAACTCAGACAGACAGCTTAGCCTCATACAGTGGAAATGCATGACGACGAAATATCAAAAGCAATAGGCATCCTTTTTTAAATAAACATCATGAGCATGAAATTAGATGAATAAAGAGCGAGCGCCTACTGTCAATGAAAACTTGGAAAGATTCGGGATCCTCTAAAAACATCAACAAATGGATATGCTTGGAATATATACAGATGGAATTAAAAGGAAATGAGATTGTGGTAAGAAGGGTCTAGTTAAGGGGCCAGCTTCAAAATTAGATGAAGAATGGTTCACCTGGGAACTCAAATAGCTGGGTGGTGCTAAACGCCTTAATAAGCTAACATTAGTGATGCGAATTTCAAGATCTAGATTTATTTCAAATCCACGTGAGCCAGCTAGTTTGAATGGACAAGCGGAAACAGCTTATATGGCTTGGGATTAGAGACATTTTGCATGGAGTATAAATCGGGATGAGGAGGCTCTTCTAATGCGAGGCGAAGCCGGTGGTGACAGTGATCACGTCCCACTAAACTTACTTGAAGGGCTGCACATTTAAAATATATTAGAATAAACTGAGATGCCGGGAGGTGTAACTCGGAGACTTGGCCATATAATGTGGGATTTAGGTAATAGGACTGGTGCCCTAGAACCAAATTAAAGAAGGAGAGATTTATCAACCGTTAAAGAGAAAATTGTCTTTACTTGTCATTGGGATTAGTTGTAAATCGATTCTAAAGATGGCGCTTATCATTATGGTGCTAGCGAAGCGTCGGAGAATGTACCAAATCAGAGTTGCAATGCTACAAGTTATCAGGACTACTTTGTCAGGGGACACAGGATTTATCACTTTCGCCCTTTCACTCCGAATATATTGCGAAGACATTATTATGCAATCTTAATACAGCCTTATTGAGGTACAATAAAGGCTAAGTTCTCTTTAAAATCATTTCTATGAGATGGCCATATTCGTTTTAGGTCTTATGCCCAGATAAAGGGGCAAAACTGATGTGAATACTGCCATAAAAAGTGACCTAAACTCACACTGGAACTCTGTACTCAGAGTCACGCTTCCTAAGCAGCCCAATTCAAGGTTGAGTGTGCTTTTCACTTGTATTTAAATCATATATATGAGATGTATTCGTAACATTTCGTTTAGGAAGATAAAGGGACTGGTAGTTGAATTTTCCCACAACAATATGAGTAGAAATGGCGCTTCCATTTGATTCCACATAGTTATTCATTCCTAAAAGGACTTCTCATCCAGGATGGACTGTAGTTTCGACCTCGCTTAGGTCCCTTCGAGTTCTGCTGAGGGTGTTGATAAGACCTAAGAGAGGTCAAAACTGCGATCCAGCCTGGCTGAGAACACCTTTTGGGAAAGCAAGGCTATGTGAAATTCAATGGAAGCGCCAGCTATATTCATATCATTATGTGAAAACCCGTCTACCAGTCCTTCATTACCTTAGACGAAATCTGGTGAGCAAATATCCTATATAAGTTTGCATATAGCTGGTAGCGAAATGAGCAGAATTGAAAGGCCTTCTCTCTCCTCTTGGTCCTATCAAGTCATCACTATCTGCTGCGAAAGCTCAGTTAGACTGAAGCAGCAAGTTAAACCAACCTCCGTCCGGATGGCCAAGAAGGAGTTGTGTTCTCTTGTGACATAAGCTTCCATTTCGAAGGAAACTTTGGTAGCACGGGATTCGTGAATTTGTCGAACCGTAAACCGAAGGAGAATCATGAATAAAAGCTGGATTTCGAAGAATGCCTTAGTGATATATTGTTACATGACTCTCCATTTTGAAGTGAAAGTTGGTAGGAAGGAATTCGTGACGCGGCCCCACCGGAAACCAAAGGAGGATTGCCGCGTTAGGAAGACTGTTGAATTGTGCGAAGAAGTCCTAGGTTCAATGTCCTGCGACCCCAATGAAACTGTGTTAAGCTTTCGTCTGTGTTGTGACAGATACCGTCAGAGCGATAAATCATACTTAAAGCTAAAACGCACCAAATATAGTAAGGCAAGAAAATATTGGCTTGACTTACTGTATTAGTTACGTTTATTAGTAGTGTATGATTTATCGCTCTAACAATGTTTGTCACATACAAGAGTTGCAGGTCAGTAAGCCGAGGATTTCCTGGCATATTCCAATAGTCCTGAATCTGCGGAAATTCTCTTTCGGTTTTTGGTGAGACCAATTTACGAATTCCTTCCAATCAACTTTCCGCTGGAAATGAAAAGTCATTTCATAAAAAATCCCTAAGGAATTCTTCGAAACTCTGTTTTTATTTCTATATTCAAAGCTGCGCTGCCTGCCTCCTCAGAATAGTAATGGAGACATCATGCCTTAAGAGAACGAGCTTGTTTGTTGACAGTCATAGGGCTGGGCAGGTAATGCTGGGAGGATTGAATTCTAGAATTCATTCTGAGGTTGGCTTTGCTGCATCATAAGGTGCTTTGCTTTCGATAATCTGGTCCCATTACTGGAACAGCCTATCCTATTTCGCAAAGGAGCGTATGGGTTGGAGTTCTGGTGGCCCCACAGTGCTTTTAGTTAATCTGAGAAAAAAGTTATTTTTTATAAGGACATATATCTATCAATAGATCTTTCATAAAAAAGCGACGATAAATCGGATAGTTAAGTTTCTCTTAGTTTAATAAGTAGAAGGTCTCACGATACTAATTCTACTTAGTCTGGCTTCCAAAGCGACTTTCTGATCCACGATTCAAAAGTTTTGGTTTTAAGAGGATAATGAGCACGACTCTGATTCGAACCCATTTGGCTGTACAGATCTCGAAACTGCAGTTTAGTCAGAAAAATAAAACCCCATGGAAGATAAAACTATTTAAAATAAAATGGTATCGTGAAGT